CCAATGAGGTGAGGAGACCTACACCTTCAATGGCACGCTCACCTGCAAGGTTATCCTTCCTGACGAAAGAAAACCTTCGAAGTTTTGCTTGTTGTTCTGGTTTCAGATTTGTTTCCTGTATTGCTAAGCACACAGGATGATAAGCATTGGTTATAGCTTTGATGTCGAGCAAATTTCGGTGGAAACCACGATAGTTCCATGAGACGAGGGTGGCCATTATGATTGGTGTTTGTTCTTTCTGTGCTGCTTTTTAGTTTTTCGTGGAAGTAGATGCCTGGCAACTTCTAGACCCTTTTCTACTTCCATACTATCTGAATCCCCAGATTCAGAAATAATCCCATCAAGACATCTATTTCTGGGATTTCTATTTTTATTAATTACTTAATTACTTTCTGAGTGGCACTTTTTGGTTTACTTTGTATCACTGTTCTCTTTTTTTTTTGTACTAAATGAGTTCAGCTTTCGTTTTTCTTGTTGTTTGTAATCGGTTGGGTTTTATTTGGTAGAGTTTGTGTTTTAGTTGAAGTTTGGGTGGAAACTGTACGAGATGTTTTAAGAGCATTGGCATAAGATGTATTCATAGAACCTGTGTGCTTTGGATCAGTCTTCTGGCTTCAGCATATGTGATGTTCCTAGTTACTTTTGCAGTCTGCTATTATTTTTCTGATTTCCATTTTGGGCACAAGCTAGAAAATGCTGGATGTTCTCCCTTGCAATTTATACACAAAGGCGCAGCGGTACAATTATCACATTTATCACAATTGTGACCAATCTGTGAGCATCGGGCGCATGTGGGGCTGCCACGACAAGACATCTTCGAATGGCCGAAGCGCTGGGATTGGAAGCATCGCATAGGGTTTGGAATATAAGGTCTTACATGACAAGTTAAGTATCCGGCTTTAATATTCTTAGGCAGATCAGGCGAGTTTAAGGTCAGGATCACGTGTTTCGTATCGATCAACTGACCTTCCTTACGCATCTTGATCCGCTTAGCACCACAGACATTTGGGTCAGACAATTCGGATGCTATCTCTTCTTCAGGAACCCACTGAAGGGTCGACACCTCGACAATAATTCAATGTTTTATGTGCTGTTATAGTGACATTCGCTTGCCCAAGTTTGGTTACTTATAGTAAGGAAGCAGATTGGGTCGCCGAAGTTGTGTCAATAAGCAAGTCTCCAGAGCGGAGACGTTTTATATTTCTGGACGCACCAATACAAGAACGGATATATTTATTTATCAGAAAAGAAGACATCTTTTGCAACTCGCCAGAAGAACTAGAGACAACAAGGAAATGGGGAGTATTGTTAGGATTATTTGCATTTGCATCTGTACGTACGTTTTTAGCAGGTTTTTCAGAAGCACTAACGGTTTGAGAGACGGGACTGATTTTAATTAAATATATTTTAGAATTAGCCATATTTAAGAGAGAAATTATTCGTACCAGGTAGCCCCATCCACCACAGAGTCCAACAGGGGACCCAGAAGTCTGCGCCAGGGTTAACCGGGTCCATACGCAATCTGAAGTTACAGTCAGCTCTCTTGAAAGAAGGAACTCCCGAAAGCTTATCCAAGCCACTATCCTTAAGGGCAAATGAACAGCCGATTGACACTAGCGGGGACAACTAAGTGCCTCACGTTTCAATCTGAAGCAGAGGCCAAAGCAGTGTGTTGGGGATAGTACCTCGCCCTTCAAATACCAGGACCCTCCTTTCCAGCCTTACGGGTCACAACGCACGGCAAACGCGTAGGTGGGCTCCTTACGGGTTTCTAGAAGATCAACTGATATAAAAGATAAAAACAATATGCAGCAGCATATGCCGCATAAACTTATTCGCTATTTTGTGTAATTTCTACAATATTTTATAATACTTATAATTTTGTAAATTTTAATTTAATTAAAAACATTTAAAGATATTTTTTGTTTGTTCACAATTATTTGTATTTTCTCTTTTTCTAAGAAGTGGAACACTCTGATACTTTGTTTTCATAAAATAAAGTACGAGCTTTTTGTTAAAAATTTCATAGCTCATTGCAGTTTACACAGCCAGCCCATTCACTAGCTTGAAATTGGAAATGAATTACCAGGTTGATCATTCGATTCATTGGTATTATAGACTTGGATTCTGTGAGCCTGAGTAAAGAGTGAAATATTATTCGTAAATGTAAAAGATATGATAAACAGTGGTTTAAAAACAATTATAGATACAGCTTCATATATATTGGCTGATGAAATTTTCCCAGATATCAGCAAGTAATTAATTTTGCTTCTTTATTTATTTCATACCATAATGGTTTATTGCTTATCAGTACAAAATCTGAGCTAATTAAAAATAAGCATTGCATTACATTAAACATTATTAAAAATAATGTACTAGTACATAAACATTAATAATAAAGTATTTATAAAAACTATTTTACTAATAATTTTGAAAATATTTACACTATTAACGTAATTAATGAAAACCATTTCAAACCAAAATATGATCTGCATTAGTGAATTATGATTAAAAATAATGGTTACATTGTTCTGAATAACATTGGAATAATTTGAAGGTTAAAGCTGATAATCTCTTAAGATGATTTTGCAGTCGGAAAAATGTAAACATAGCTCATTTCGATTAACTTTTCGTTTTTTTTAAATATGCCGATTATCTGTTTGCCATACACTGGATTAAATACTGAATAAGTGTTTCATCCAGATGATAATATTAAGCATTGATTAACATTTCCTATAACTATTTTTACTTCATTGTACGAAGTAAAGGACGGATTGCAACGGGTTGCAAAATATATGCTAAGCAAGGAATTCATAATTGTTTTTACAAAAAAAAAAAAAAAAAAAAAAAAAAAAAAAAAAAAAAATCAACATTAATATTTCTACACAGTTTCAATTTTGAAATCATGTCACCTATCTTAGGCTAATTTTACATTCCCACTATCAGTTCGTGCTAAAACCTTTAGATGGTGCCATATTAATTTTCTCTTTAGAACAGTGTTAGCAGAATTTAAATGCGTTCTCTGTCAGCTTTTCGCGAATCCTTCGAAAACGGGATTTCAAAAAACAAAAGTATCTCGATCTCGCTAAAGGAAGCCTCTCATTCTGCATAAAACCCGAGCAATGCCAGGTACTTCAGTTAGTTTCTAAATAAACCAATATACTTTATTACAATAATTCACAAAAATAACAATGCAATCAAAAGGATTTAAATAATTACAAAAATTACAACAATGTAGAAAGATGAAATGTCTTTTTTCAATAACTTTAAATAAAAAAATAACTGAAAAAAATTCGAAAGCTTTCAAATTTTATATTACTCCCAAAGGGGCGTTTTTTTAACGCTTTGTGTGTTACCTTTATTTATTAAAACTCATGCTCTTCGTGTTTAAGCCATAAAATTCAATGCAACAGCAATGTCACAAATATTGTTATGTTTTTCTTACGTATGTACGGGTTCGTGGATTTGGAGTGAATAACGACGACACTTGATGAAGTATTGAAACACAATTTATTGGCCAGTATTTTATTCAAGACAGTTCCAAAACCATGTTTACAGTCGTCGAAGAACTACTATAAACACTCTGAAACAATCAGCGACACAGCCTTCACACTATCAAGGTATAACGGTGAAGACAGCTCCACGGCAAAGCACTAGAGAACAGCTCCCGACTCTGCTCGGTCGTTCTCGGAACTCTACGTGATCTCGACTCTCCACGCTACAACTCGCGATGCACTCGACGATACACTAGCGTACAGCTCCCGACTCGTTTCGGTCGTTCTTGGAGCTTAACGCACTCTAAGATAAGACTCGATGATGCACTAAGAGACTCTCTCGAAACACTCGACGACCAACTCGGCACTAGACTACGAGACACTCGCTCACTGAGTCGACTAAGCACTTACTGACGATCAACTCATTCGACTGCCTCTGACTACCAACTCGATGGACTCCGCGTACCAGCAAGGTTTATATAGCTTGCGTTCGAGAACATTCTGAGCTAAACCAGTAAGAATTCGTCCGGAAGGTTCTCTATCCGTCCATGGCATATCGCCAATTTTGTCGCCAAATGGGCGATTTCTCACTAAACGTGGCAATCCTGCATTTCCTTGCCATTTTCTGGCAACCCTAAACCTGCCTTGCGGAGAAGCTATCTTACCGCCCCTGGACATTTCGTAACAATATTTAAAAGAGCACATTTTTAGAATTTCCTCTACACAGTCTCGCGCTCTGGAGATAAAAACGTTTTGTTTTTCCCGTACAGTGTTGCCATTGCTCACTTTGAAATCGCTGAGTTTCTTAATCAAAAACTCATAAATGCTTTACAAAATATGAAATAGATAACACAACAAATTTCCGATTCCAAATTTGGGCATCCAGATGCCCATATTTGTGTGGAGATGTACGATTCAAAATTTGATGGCTCTAGGTACCGCTGTTTTATCACAATGCGAGAAACAAACATACATTTTTGCAGGTTCGTCGTTATTTGATTTCTTTAAATATAATACAGGACTCTAATATTTGCTGGCAACAATTTAAAACGTAATTCGCCGTTTATAGTAAATCAACGCAGAATTTCATAGCAAAATTAATAGCCCTTCTGGGCAAATTGCGCCTTTGGGCTGAAAAATAGTAAAATTATTTCACAAAATTCTATACATAATTCGCATCAATGATATCATTTACACTGAAAAGAATTTGCACGAGGAAAGGAACTGTCAAAAATCCATAATAAAAAATGAGGATATATAAAATTTAAACTAAATACTAGACTGGCAATCCATGAAAAGGGAAAACTTAGGCATAATTATTAATGTGTTATAAATAAATGAAAAATTTTACTTTTTCGGGGTGGTGGAAAGGCAGCAAACTAATTTCTCTGAAGTAACCGCATTTTTAGACTGTAAATACTTTTTCCATTTATTTAATTTTTCTTTATTTACTTTGATTATATAACTACAGCAGTTGATAAAAATGTGGATTTCCTATTTTTTCAGACTCTCTGCAATACCATGGGCACAATATATCATTAAAAAATCATCATCTGACACCTCTTATCAGTGATAATTCAGCTTCAGCATCTGCAGAATATGGGCATCCTGGTAAGGATTCCAGTGAGTATATCCAAAATATTGAAGAGTTGCTTACCAGAAGCTATTTTGGAACAAGGTCACCGAGACCAGTACATCGTAATCCTCATTTTATTGACTTGGAATCACATCAGAAATTACTCGCTGCCCAGGCAAGTGTTCATAGACCATATCCAGACTATCCTTTATTTCATTTGGATGACTATGATAATCCAATGAAGAAGCATGATTACGTAAGAGGTCAGTACGATGGTGGATGGGACAACATCCCAAATGGATTCCATATTGGAGGTGGTGGAAGCGGAAGCGGAGGAGGATTAGTACATGCTATGGGTGCACTGAAAAAGGGCAAAGAGGCTAAAGCATTATTCATTTTATTGGCACCTTTGATATTACTCGCAGTATTTGGACCCATTCTTGCAACACAGTCTATGATACCCTGGATTGCCAGTGGAGGACTCAATACTGTAAGTACAATTGCTGGTGGCAAACGGAAAAGAAGATCCCCAATTAATGATCCTAGACAAATGTTTGAAATAGAAAAGAGGTTACAGCTCTTTATGGAAGTTCAAGATTTCATTGCTAAATCAGGATCGCAAAATTTAGTAGAAGAAATGGGAAATGCATTTCTCAAATGTACAAAATATACAGAACGAAGAAACAAATGCCTCGAACGTGTTGCTTGTGAATACTCTGATGAAACTTCAGTCCTCGACCCCAATGAAAGAAGAGTAGCAAAATTGTAAGTTACATTTTCCATTAATCAGTTCACATGCTTATTGCTATCATTGCAGAATTATCACAATTTAAATCGAGTATTAACTATTCTAAGTGCGACAATATTAGTTGATCCATAATTATTTAGCATAGCATTGAAATATGAAACGCCCGGAGTTTTTCTCACCACGACTTTTTTAAACGACTCAAAATTGCTAAATTTGATTTAAAATAATTTTATAATGCCTGAAAAGGCTTTAAAAAGGCATAAATGGCTTTAAAAAGCCTTTTTATGAAACAAAAGTTAGAATATAAGTGCACGTTCTTGTGCTAATATTATCAACCACAGCTCGTGGTAATGCAACTAAAAGAACAGTCATATTTCAATTTAATACGTAGTACAGTCAGTCGTCAAAGATTACAAAATTTAATTTTACTCCAATTTAATTTTAATACATTTTTGCATTGCCAACAGGGCTACTAAAGCTGATTTAGAAGTTCTAACCAGAGTATCAAATTCAAATACCCGCAGCGATAACGCAAAGCCGAATAATTGCAACTTATCAGAGCTGCAAAGAACTAACTTAATGTGCCTGCGAAGGGAGAAATACCCTCATCTTCCAGCACAAAAAATCTCAGTTTAAAATTAGCTAATCTAATTTACATTCTAGTAGTGAGAAGATAGAAAGGAAAAATTATAGTAAATGCTGAAATTATAAATAACTGGTTAATTGAAGTAACCTTATAAGATGAAAAAAAATTAATGAGAAAAATTTAGCCCCAATCGCTTAGGGAAAAAAAAAAAAAAAAAAAAAAATGAAAACTTGAATAGTTTAAATTTCGTTAGGAGATAATAACCTCTTTATTTTAGCCATTATTTTACAAAGAATTTGTCATGATTTTTTATAATAGTTTCTTTTCCCGTGACATTTAATGATCAGAAATTCTTTTAGAATTGCACTGGTCTTCAAAATTAAAAGAATTTTCGTATTTGACCAATAATCTAATAATTGACAAATTTTAATGAACTTTAGTATAGACATAGGTAGATATAATACAATAAAATATACCACAGAACAGTCATGGTACATATACATGGTTGTGCGCGAGGTTCGTCAACGCACAAAGGCAAAACAACTTTTAACCATTAATGGAAAAGTAAGCACGTGCTTAAAGCTTAGGAAAGAGAGCACCACAAAAATTTTTCATTACCAGTTTTTACAGTGGAATGTATAGTGCAGTGAAACGAAGACGAAGAAGGACGGAATGGTGAGAAAGCAGGCAGTGTGCTGTAAATGTACGTAGGAACACCAAAATCTTTTAAGTGCTTAGGACATCTAAAAGTCGTAATCGGACACTGTACGAAGGTCTGAAACAAAATTTGCAAGGTTGAACAATAAAGGAGGCTAGTAGGGCATATGGTCCCCTTTAACAGTTATATAGCTGTCACAATATGATTTCATTCTGTCAAGAAAGCAGTTTATAAGTCCTTGTAGCAGTTGGTACCATTCCTCCTGTTCTCAGATTTAGGAGCGTTCTGGGAAAAGTTGGAGTTACCTTCCCAAGAGCGTCCTAAACATTCTCTACAGAGTTTAGGTATAGTTAACTGGATGGCCAATCGATCAAGTTAATATCCTCAGTAATCCGTCTTATGGTATTCTGCTATAAATCGTCAAATAATAATAATAAAACATGTCAGTTTTCACGGTATTTGTTTTATTACTTAAACCCATCTATGTATTACATTTCATTAAAATGTACACTGCGGGGGGGGAAGGGACAGTTCTATATCTCCTGTTCTACTGAGCCGATTGACAAAATTTAAATTGCGTTTTTCATGTCTCGAAAGCGACTTAGGATATTAGATTCATATATAACATTGTTCTAACATAGGTATTTTTACACAAAAGCGGACGTTTTCTGAAATTTTATATATTATTTTACCAATACCAATTTTTTTTCCCATATTTCGATTCTACGACTCAAATTATCCTAGATATTAAATTTTGTAAAATTTGGTGCGAAATTTATGGAGAAATTTTTTCAGTTTGGCCAAGAATAATTCACTTGACGAATTTCTTAATATATGACAGCCAATTTTCCTTTTCCTTCCATTATGCTGGAGCGGAAAAAAAAAGGCACCTCGTTCCTACCATTTTATATTATTTAATCCAAATAATTTTAGTAAAGTGTTTAAACCACATCTGATGTTTTATCGCTTTCAACAAATATGCCAAATTTCAAAACGCGCCAATATATAAATTCACGTATATCTTCGGAAATTTTGAATAAAAAATTGTAATTTTTTGCAGGTATACTTAGAAATACATCTACTTTAAGATGATGGTAAACATTTTACAGATTATAATTAAAAATTTTTTTGAAAAATTTATAAAAATTATTTAAAAATACAAATTTTTAAAATAAATCATAAAAAATGGGTGAATTTTATTTGGAATGAACTTAAATTTCGAAATGTGAAAGTAAGAATCAAATAAGTTTAATGAAAAAAGAGATATACCAAACTCAACAAAAGCGTAGCTAGGGTTTTCAGCGCCCGGGGACAACTGAAGATTTTGCACCCCTTTCTGTGTGCCAAGAATGGAAAACATTTCATTCTATAATTTCATATCATCAGTTTGGCGCTCCATGGATGCTGCGCCCGGGGACAGCTGTCTCTCCTTGCCCCACCCTAGCTACGCCACTGAAACTCAATTAACATTGAGGAACTAAATTATTAAAAACTACTCGTGCGATTTTTACAAAACTTGGTAGTTTGGCGTAATTTGAGTCGTAGAATCGAAATATGGTGTTGGTGTATTTAATTATAGTAAAGCACACTAGGGTTATCTGCCTAAGGGGAGGGATGCCTTCGGGAAGGACGTTCTAAGGGAAACTGGCTCGTATACACGTTACACATAGGGAAAACCACGAAAACACCCATGCAGCCAGCCCGTTCGCGGGATTCGAATCTCGGACCGAACTACCAATGTTCAGCGACTTTACCGCTCGGCCGCTGGTGAGCGAATCGAAATATGGAAAAAATATTGGTATGCTATTTCAGAAAAAGTCCGATTTTGTGTCAAAATACCTATATTAGAGCAATGTTATATATAAATCTAATACATATCCTAATTCGAGACATGAAAAACGCAAGTTGAATTTTGTCAACCGCCCAGTAGAACGAGAGATATAACTCTGTCCCCCCCCCCTCTTTTTTTTTTTTTTTTTTTTTTTTTTTTTTTTTTTTTCCGCAGTGTAGCTATCAGTTCTGAAGATAATCGACTAAATGCGGAAAATTCTCTTATTTTTGAAGATCACTGCACATTTAAAACAGAGATTTATTGGAACCAGAGGACCAGAAGTTATGAAAAATTTGGAATCCCTCATTTTAAAGCTTAATCTGGTCCACATTTTCTTTTACACATTCACCATTTTGTGCTTTCAAAAATACCAATGTTTGCCTAATTCTCTTAGTTACAAAGGGGTCTTCGAACTTGTGACAAAACTTCCCCACCTTTCCTTCTGACGCACAAGACAGCTTACTTTTTAAGACCTTCTTGACTTTAAAATCAGTTTTCTGCCTTTTCTTATCATAACAAAATTTTTGGTTTCTCCCGAACCGTATTCGACTTTTAGATTTGCCTCCTCACTATTTCTGAATGTCTGCCATCTTAAATTCTGCAAATCTCTTTTCAACAACAACAAAAAAGAGTTTATCGACGGTCGTAATTGACTTTTTGCCAAGAAATAATTCAGACAATTGTCTCCCCAGTTATATCATATTTGGCCGTTGTTAATGCAAATGTCCTTTCGGTACTTTTCCTTTATATGGGCGCCGAATTGCAACACGGGGGCTTGGATTATTGGCGCTTTAAGTTTTTCAAACGCTGAATTTGCTTCTGCCGACCAAATGTGGTCTTTTTTCTTTTAAAATTTAATAGGGGCTCTAGTATGTGAGCAAAATCTTTATGAGAGTCCTATAATATGATCACAAGCTCCAAAATTATGTCAATTTTTCTTTGCCGTTTTACGTTGCAGATAATTATTTATCGTTGCAATTTCAAAATCCTCAGTTCGATTCCTCTGTTTGATATCTTATAGCCTAAGTATCGGAGTTCTTTGGCTGTGAATTTTATTTTGCTGCATTCGCTTTTAAAACTGTTTTTTTTTTAGAAGTGAAAAACTTCGTGCAAAATGTTGAATATGTTCATCAATAGCATCGCTTGTGATTATGTCATCTAAATAAAAAGAAGTTGATTTTCCGAAGACAGGTTTTAAGGTTATATCCATGGCTTTTTGAAACGGAGAGGGGCTCGGCATAGGCCAAAAGGCATTCTGAAGAAGTCGTGAACCTACGATTTGGAGATAAATGCGGTCTTTCGTATGTCCTCTAATTTCACACATTCCTGAAAACATCCAGAGAGGTCTAATGTCGTCATGTACCTTATTATCTTCTCAATTATTGGTAAGGGGTAAACCGGATATTTAGTTTTATGTAGAGTCGTCCAGATGGCATAGTGTTTAGGGGAACCTACTGCGATACCGAAGGGTTCGAGTTCGAGGTTACGAAGAAAGCATTGATGTCTGTAAATGTATAGTGTCTTTACGGCATGGAGGCGCTCTAAATGCATGGAGAGCCGAAAGTTCCCTTAAAAGGATGGTAGTACAGGAAGCGTGATAGGAGACCCTCGCCCCCCCCCGGGGTATTCTCCATCAAAATTGGGGCAGAACTCAGTGAAGTCACATTGCCACCTGTATGATGCTTAATGTTCTAACCAACAGCAGGCACAATCTTGCTCTGTTTGCCACGATGAATTCCGTGGGCTTGGTGTGATGTTGCTGTCAGACATGTGAGATAAGTCACAAAAACAACACAATAGTTTCTTGTAGTCAATAGCGAAACGACATGCTTTAAAAATCAGTGGGTGGGAGATTAATTTTCTTTTGGCATAATACTGAAGGGCTGGCGTAGGGTCTGATTATAGGGATTATAATTTTATTTTTTAGCATTTCTGAAATATG